TATGGCTATCAGCCTAAGGGGAAGGATACCTTCGTGGTGGACATTCTAAAGCAAATAGGCTCGTATACATGATACGCAAGAAGAAAACCACAAAAACGCCCATGCAGCCAACCCCGTTCGCTCGGAATCGAATCCTGGTCGTAACTACTAGTGATTAGCGACTTTACCTCTCAGCCGCTAGTGAGTCTAATTAACAATGTTTTGTTTGTCCTCAGGATAAAGTACAAAACATCCTTCTGGACATAACCATATCGACAGCACTCTTAGTAAAACGTAACTATTCACGTTTCACAGCCAAATTTAAAAAACAAATATTCTTTCCAACAATTCAGAGTAAAGGAAGCTTCGCTCCGGGCGTTGATAAATCATAAGATCTATCTCTTTTCTTAAGATAAAAAGTATGCTATTCTTGAAAAGGTTTTGTATATGACGTCTAACAAACAAAGAAGCTTTCTGTAAAATTCCGTTGATTCTATCTTTGATCCTATCTGTAAAACTCCATTCAAAATTTGACTGTTTTCAATTTTATATAGGTGATGCTGTTTATAGAATATAACTCTGAAATATTAGGTAAAGTGTGAAACAATCTGTTTTATAACTTTAATCATTTATATACTGCAATTCTTTTGACTTTACATACAACATCTAAGTCTACTCTGACGAATGTAATTTGTGACTGTTTCAATATTAAGCGTTTAAACTTTCAATTTCGCCTTTATTATTCTAACGACAAGTCCATTTTAACGATATTTTTAACGAAAGTGAAATATTAGCAATTACTCAATTTTAAAAATAAAATGATTAATTTCCTCGCATTTATACTACTCTCATTTTCGTAGTTATACTATTCTTAGGAAAGATGAGCAGAAAGAAGATCGGCAGGTCTTTGGTATTAAAATTCAAAAAAATAAGAAAAGACAGTTGAAATTTTACAGTGTAATCTAATCAGATGGTTTAAATAACAGAGAATAAATTGAAATACATAACAATCTGAAGAAAGAAAAAACAAACCTGTGCAAGCGCAGTACGTTCTGAAGAAAACTGCTCAGAAAATGCAAATTTAATATCTCATTTTCAATACAGAAACAGATGATTTATGCCCTAAATCTTAGGTCTCGCAATGAATAATAATAAATGAAGAAAATATTAACGTGATATTATATTTATTTTTATTGAAAATAAAACTATAAGCTTATCTTCTCAAGGAAAGACCGGACACAGAAAACAAACAAACAAAAAAAGAAACATTTTATGTCCTAGGATATTTCCTTAGAAATAGAGCATAAAATGATATAAAAATTCCAAGTTTTTATTTTTTCCCGCTTGTATACATGCTGTACCTCTTTCCCTATAGATTCTTATACCCTGGAAAAATGTTGAACTAAAGACGGTTGGAGCGGATGGTACTCGAGCGCCCCCATGTGGACTTTTTCTGAACTGCATGGCCTGTTAAACTACATACAATTCTATGGGGAAGGAAAATGCTTCTGAAAAAGAAATAAGTAGAAATATAGAACTTCCTTCTTTAACAGAAAACTATGAATTACACTTCTGCTCTTTCGAGAACGTTTCTTTCTCGTAGGATACTTTTGGAACAGAAGCGTCAAAAATTGTTCAATGACGTCTCAGAATTTTTTTATTAAATTTTATAGGAATCTGTAAAAGACTTGTTTTGACTATTTCCTGTCATTTTTGGTGGCATATTCCTTTTAGTACTGGAATTATTGGCATGGTATACTTTTAGGAGAAGCTATAAAACTTTCGCGGATACATTCCTCATATATTGTGGTTATAAATGAGGGATAAAAGTTACAGATTTTGCTCTCATCTTAGCATTTCATTTTTTTGATTTTTGCATATGAGCATTAAGAAACACTTAAGACTTAGAAAGGAAGGATTTTGACAGTTATAAAATGTTGCCTGTTTATTCTTTTAGCGGGTAGTTTATGAAGATAACATTTTATTGCTGTCTTTCACCAATACATTTCACATGAAACTATGTGATGATTCTTGCGGCTGGTGTATTCAAAATTGCAAAATAGATCTTCCTGAGCAGTTGAGGAAGGTAGCTAATTGTAATCTGAATCAGAAGACTGGAAACATAGAATCTGAAGTTTTTGGTTTTAGTTTAGATGTACGCTTTATGAATTCACGATGCAGTTTTAACTGAGAGACGAAGATGTTGCTAAATGCTTGAATATTTATTTTTTGTATTTCCGTGAGATATGAACAAACGAAAAACGTTATAGTTTATTTGGCATGTCCAGTTATTGTATTTGCAAAAGGTTTTATCCTATTAAATGGATCAAATTTAAAGATGGGAAAGTTAATGATTTGTAAATAAAGTAAGAACAAGAAGGTGACTATGGCTACAACTTCGTCATACAATATGATGGCTACCATAAGAAAGATAATATCATTGTAAAGTTATGACACCTGTATTAAAATTGAAGCACTTGAGCATGACAAAATCACTTTATAGCTATACGTGAGTTTGAGGAGGTATCAAAAGGATCCCTTATCATGAGCTTTCGTGAAGGCAGTGTGGTGTCAAACGTTCAAAACAGAAACACTGAACAAAATCAAAGTAACGTTGAAAGGTCTCTACTTGAGGTTTTAACATAAAAATATTATAAGGCAACAGTCCACTTGACTTGGCATTAATTGAAGAATAAAACTTGATCTCGTTTAATCTAATAGAAACAAAACTCCTAACTGATAACAACGTTTTTAAATTTCAATAGCAGCTCATTTATTTTGGAAACTAATCTTCTGGACTCTTTACACCGACACGGTTTACCATCAGCCATTCGCTAGCCCTGCTAACTTCGAATTCATTCCTCTTATTCGCTCTCTCGTTTACACACATCAACGATTGCAAATAAGTTTTTATGCATCAAATTTTGACACTTAAAAGTTACATAATTTTTTGGAAAGAACGAGTTGCGTGACTCAGGTATGAAAGGACAGTAAAGATATAAATTCAATTAACTTGTTAGTTAAAGTAAAGCTAAGCTGTCACAAAATAGTCTTCTATCAAGAAAACAATGCAAAATATCATCTGGACTGATTTTGCTGCCCAACTGGGACAGTGATTAGCGACTGTTGTACTGAAGTGCCCGGGTTCGAATCCCGTAGAAGGCATCGATGTTTGTAAATGCAAAGTGTCTGTGCGGCATGGGAGTACCTTAAATATGCGGCGAGCCGAAAATCCTCTCGAGAGATTGGTAGGGGAAGAGGGGTGGAAGACTCTCAGACCCGTTTCGCCCGGGGTGCTTTCCACGGAACTGAGCAAAGTCATACTATTACCTGTATGGTGCTCAAGGCTCTTGCCAACGACAGGCGCAATCTCGCTCTCCTTGTCCCGATTTGTGAGCATGTTCCGCTGTTACTTTCTGCAAGTGAGATAAGTCACAACAACAGAGTATTAATTTAGGAGTCAAACAACAAAATACCCTAAAAGACTGAATGTAAAGCCTCAAACTGCTTGTCGATTCCCCTTTTCCACTTACCAATACAATACTAGAACATATTCACTTAGAATATTTATTGATCAATGTTGCTGGATCGATGCTACACTGATTCCTTTCAGAAGGTTACTGTTTACTTACACACTTTTTGTTGTTCACCTTCATTTTCTTCATTTTCCACTATTCGACGGCAACAATGCTGTGTTAAAATAATTTCTGTTTAATCTAAAGCCTCATTATCATGCTGATATATAGTCATCCATATTTCAACTATAAATAATTCATATTTTCATTTCTATCTCGATAAATAATATAAGCTCGAAATACGGCTTTTTTTTTTTTTTCGAAATAAAGAGATGATATTTCTAGTTAAATACGACATTCACGATATTCTTCTACAATGCATAGTATTAATATATCGCAGTTACTTAAAACACGTAGCAATATTTTGCACTTATCCTGTACAGAATATGGAATGATATGTACATGCTTAGGGATTAATTACGTTTAGATTAATATTTAAGTTTGTTTTTCAGTGGTTATATCAAATTTTCAAATTTTTAAATTCTTTAAACTTTTTTTTTTTTTTATTTATTTATTTATTTTTTTATTTTTTTATTTTTTTTATTTTGGATATTTCTTCAGTTTCTTCAATTTTCATTTTGAAGTGTCAAAGTTGTTCCTGATTTTACACTGCGTTCCTGAGGTGCGCGATTCTTGATTGGCAACTTGCATATATTTTCTCAAGAGATATATATAAAATCATTGATGCTTGCAAATTATGAGAAAATGGAACACAAAAATAAAAATATATCCAAAGTTATTAAAATGGGAAACAAATACTTCCAAAGCGTCTACTAAGTAAAGTAGAAGCGCAGTCCGTTAATAAACAGTAGTGATATGAGTTTACTGAATGCTTATAATGCATACGTTAAATAAAAAGTACCATGCTCATTGCCCCGATAGTCTTTTAATTGAAATTCACTTTCGGTTGTATAAACTGCCTGCCATCGTTGATTCTTTAACAGAAGGTCTTTAAAATTTCCTCCATAATGTTATAAAAAATACAAATTTAAAGGTTTCAAATTCTAACGGTAGATCCAAAGAGTTTGTTAAGGTGCTTTACGCTATCTCTGAGCTCCCAGTCTAACAATCTGCTTTACATTCATTCCTACTAACCCAATTGTTTTTGCCTTCTAAGCTTTATTATTAAGCACAATTTTCTTCGCAATTACGCGATATAAAATTCAACAGCAAAATTACAAAATTTTTAAAACGCAGCATAGCAGTATACATTTAGAATTCCCGATGCAGCGTTAAATGTTCGCACACACTTTTCTTTTATTCATTTTATTTTCAGTCTTTTCTTAGTTCATCATATAAATGTAAAGTTTTCTTACTGAAAAGCTTTATAAAACTTTTTTGTCTTATTATTAAGGTTTAATGTGTTTATTTATTAAATATCGTGCTCGGCGCTTATGCTACATAAAAATCGATTTAAGAAAAGTTTAAAAGCAAAAATTTACTTACAGTGTACGTTTAACGTTACAGTATCCGATATAGGTTCAACCGGCAGAGTTGGATGCGAAGCTTTACAAGTCACGGATTTGCCATTATCCTCTGGCTTTGGTGTGAAGGCGTAAGTGCTCATAGTAAGATTTCCATCTTCTAGAACTGTTTCTGTGGTGCCTTGGACTTCTTTTCCTTCCCTCCACCAAGTGAGTAGTGCCTGAGGTCGAGCACCACGAGCTTCACACGTCAGCTGCGCTATCCAGCCCACGGACAATGGTCGTCGTCTTGGCATCACTTTAACTTCGAGTGGTCGAACTACGAAAGAAAATATAAACATTCCTTACTTCTTTAACAATATAAATTTTTAACACATGTATATGGAGGGGATATTATTAACCCTTTGGTCGAAACCAAGGCGCATTTTGATGTCTCACAAATCTTTGAATGGATAGGGAAAAATAATTGAAAATTTGTGAGTTTAAAATACAAGCACTAATATTTAAAGCAGATAATTACATAAATCTGATCAATTGGTAATCTATAAAAATTATTGAAACACAGATTCGTAAGATGAATACACTTTGTATGATAATTTAATAGCAATATCAGGTGCTTGATTTGAGATTAATACTTTAAAATTTCCTTGTCATGTACAAGCCCATAGAGTGTTACTTGAAGTGGTTATTGAAGCATCAGCCATAATTTGGTTACAGGTAGTAAAAAGTATTTAATAAGACAAAGAACCGTGTCTAACGGAATTTTACCTAAATTTGAAATAAAAACCAATCTTAAACGTTAAAGTTTCAGATAATTCTGGTTTTAAGAGAGATAGGTAAGGGGGCGAATCTTGATATGCAATCACTTTCATATGTTGAATTCTGAGTTTTACTTAAAAAATAGAGATTAGCTAAAAGCTGCATCGTATAAGTTGCGCTTAGCATTAATTTGTTCAGTATATAACTAGATAACTGTAAATTTTGAAGGCCAACATAACAGTCAACGACAACAGCAAAAGGACCTTAAAATTTGTAAAATAATAATAATGATTATGAACAACTTGATTATGAACTGCAGGGTAATAAATTGGGCAAAGACAGTTTTTCTTCGCTTTTTTTACTCAATCCAAGACATTTTTTTACTCAATCCAAGAAACTTGTGTTGCAATTTTCTTGAACTGCCTTCTTACTTTTATAATTCAAATCAATATCAGAGTGATTGAGAAGTAATGTAGAGTTTTCTCAATGAATCGTCCATATTTTCCAGTACTCATATTGCTTTTGTTGTCGTCAATAAATTTCACATTTTCTCTCAGTGCTCTCTACGGAGTGTTACTTGTATTTGCTTGTTTTATCAATAATTTAGATGTCATCTAAAGAGCACTATGAGCGCCATTTACAAAACAATTCTGTCTTCTTGTGATACATCATCTTTTTTCTATGTCCCTTTATGTACCTTTTCCAATATTTATTTAATTGAATGTTTATTGAAACAAAATGCGCAAGAATAGGATACGATTCCATAAGATTATATTACACTCTCACGTTTTTATAATTAAAAGAATATAAGATTGAATTCAGTAGTAATGCAGGATTTTCATTCCAAATTTCCCCTATCAAAAATGTTAGACATTATTGCAATCTAAAGACCATTCTCCTTCTTTTCCGACACCAATGATTTAAATTTTCATCAATATTTTCTAATGAAAAGGAGATCCAAAAGTAATATGACAATTTGCATATTTCTCATGTTACTCTATCTTAGATCCACCAGCATGTAAATGTCGCAGAAGACGACCAAAAATGTTTTCAGTATATCTAGCTGGATTTTCAGAGGGTTTTGATGTCAAGAGTGGCTTAGGAAGTTCTGAATTGGAAATTTAAACTTGAGGAGAAGCCGAAAACGAAACGAGAACGAGAACGAGAAAACGAGAAACGAGAAACGGCGAAAACGAGAGGTGGAAAATGATGATCTCAGTTCACTTATTATTCGCCAAAAAATAACGAAAGGCTTCGCTGTAAAATATGAGCAGTAATAGATAGCAGGAAATTAATAAAAGTTTCTTCGTGGTAGTGATTGAGTTCCACGGGGACTTGCGAATAAAACCGTCAATAATAAGAATGCTTTACACTGATATTTCATAAGTAATGTAATGAAACCATTTAAAGCCGTATTGCGATTACAGATAAGAAAAAAAAATATGATAATAATACTTGATAAAAGCAATGGTTGAAGACAAAACAGAAGCCAAATCTCTCAGAGAACGTAGGATTATATACAAAAACTGCTTTATTTTACCTATAATGGGTTAAGAAATATATGATTCCCTTTCAACGTTTATTTTGGAATAGGTTTCAATTATTCCAACAGCCCTGATGTAATTCTTCACCAAGATAATTGTCAGAATTAATATTCAAAATGGTTACTTCTTTGAAGATTACTTGATTTCGGAGTGCTTTTTATTTCGCACACATTTGAGTGACATCAGCAGAGCAATCATTGTCACTTTTAATACCTTTCACAATATACTAGTAATCTTGCCATCGCTTGAGAAATGAGTTAACCCAATGTATAGGTAGAAGCTAAGCTAGCACCTCTGCAGTAACACAGGTGATTGAGGTATTGCTGTACCTTGCTAACTGTATAAGCTTCCATCCCAGTTTAGAATACCGAGACAAAATGGGAGAGCGGTTGGCTGTTTGAGAGTCTCCCACCTCTCTTTCCCTGTCACTACTTTGACAAGAGGGCTTCAGCGCGCTGTATATTTTGAAAGTCTCCTTGCTTCACAGATACTATACACTTATAAGCATCCATGCTATCTTCGACACTCGAACCCGGGCCCTTCAGTACGGCAGCCAGAGTCACTAACTATTATCCCGTTTTAATGTATAGTGCATGCTTATCTATGTAGTGTATGATGCTAAGTTTAACTTAAAAAGCAATCAGAAAATAATCAATCTTTTGAAGCTATTTTTGCCTTAAAACATTTCACTTTCTAGTACTAAAGAAATCAAACTTATTTGTCATTAAAAGTATAACGATAGCAAATGCAAAAATCAGATCGCCATTTTCCTAATTTCCATAACGTCTTAATATGATTCAAAACAATACAAATCACTCGTAAATTGTGATTTTCTCTGTTTACTTTCATATGCCCATACCGCAGCTAGAAAAAATGAGTTGGTTGATTAATTACGACAAAACGTACCTTGAGTAAGTAATACCTAGTCATCCCCCAAACTGGTAACACTACAGACAAGATATGGTCTCTTGCATATTCATTAAAAATAAAAAAAAAAAAATTGAAAGATAATGTACTTAAAATTGATTGATTTTCTTGTAGTAATTCATGCAGAACTGCTGCCCACAGACACATATTACAAGAATTTTACCATATCCTCAGACACGACGCAAATCTCTTAACGGTGTGTGATATAGTTTGCATTCACTTCAGAGAAACTTACAGGATTGCCTAAAATAGTACAAAATAACATTTAAATTTGCTTGGACCCTTAGTTCCGTCTTATTCTTTTGCTATTTTTAATTTGATTAAAATTATCTTCTTTCAACTGATTAATATTAAAATATGCTACATGCTTAATGCCAAAGGTACGTGCCTGAACAAAAAAAAAAAAAAAAAAAAAGCAGAAATCCTGACCGAGTATACATTCTAAATTTGTATTAAATAATTAAGTCCGATAAAAGTATAAAATATGATCAATAGTTCAATTAATCACTCATTTCTGTTCAGCATTTTACTTACTGAATATTCATTAAAGACACACGTCGATGGCAAAGGAAGTCATCCAAATAATTATCTTTAACATTGCTTTAAAAATGTTTTCTATTGTAATGTTTAATTTCGGTTATTATTGAAGTAATATTTTTTTAATAGGACACTTGACGAAAAGTTTATTCTGTTCATAACTGAAAAATATTTCGCAGAGATACATTTATTTAACAATTAAGATTAAGATTAATATAAGAGTAAAATTAATTTCAACAATAAGAGCTATTTAAATTAAATTGCAAAAGGATTTATTGTGCTCAGATACTCAGCAAGAAAGCTACTTAAATTAAAAGCGAAATGATTTATCTCAGAAAATTTTCAGCCATAAAGGCTTAAAAATAAATTGTTTAAATAAAATAATGGCTTCTTTGAGTGATTTAAATGGGAAACCGAAAAACGATGTACGTAACATTTCTATTCATTTAACATTTCCTAATGCTGAAGATATATAAATTTTGTCGTATTTAATTAACGAAAGTGCTTTTAATTAAATTTTGAAATACTGAATTGAAGAAATACAATTTTAAAAGTTGGTTTTTCTGGAAATTAAATTAGACGACAGATGAATGGAATTTTTCTTTAATTCTTTCATTCACTAATTATTTAATTAATACTATTTTGCTTCCATGCACAATTTTGAAATTATTGAAAGGTAGCAAAATATTAGATACATTTGTTACATAAGAAAGTCTCTCAATAAAATTTCAGTTTCTGTATGTCACCTGGAGATTGATGAAGATGGTATGGACTGCAGTATATTGGTTATATCCGGTTTCTCGACAGAATACAAATTAACTTGCTTGTATTTAAGCTGCGGATTTTAGATTATGAGACAGAATGTATTCTGCCTCTTGAGGCCACGTTACTAAATCCCTGACTCAGGAAGGATTTGCAGTCTTCTACCTTGCATTATAATTGCAGATAAAATATCTATTCCGGTTAAAATTGTGAGCCAACTTCGCGTTAAATTTAATTATGTAGTCTCTGAGTACTAGCTTATTTTAAATGTAAACTTACAGTTATTTCAGTTATCTCGGCACAAATGGTTGGCTGAATTGTAAGCACGAAACTCCAATTCTGATTTAATTAAATGGTTTTTTTTTAAACTTTTTTGCCGTTAATCTATGGCGTTAACTGAAGGATAATTCGCCGTCAGTCTACCTAGAATTTGATTCAGTTCATGATAGTTAAGATTACCAAACTTTATACCTTATTGCAATACATGTAAAAAATACGTTGCAATACATGTATAAAATAAATATAAGTTATATAAATACGTGGCAGAAATCTGTAATGCAAATAACTAATCTACAGACACATTTCAAAATTCTATTTGAAGTGTTTGTAACTAAATTCATATTCCAAATTTTGCTTACCGCTTTCGATCACTATATCAAGATCAGCTGGAAAATTATCCAAATCTCATACCAGACAAAGAAAGCATTTCTCCTAAAGCTCCAAATCAGCAAAAACTTTGACCTGACGCATCTCGATACAAATATGAATCATCAAAAGTTTCTGCCCAAAA